TTTCCATTTTCTTGACATTATGAGTAGAGCAGTAATTAGCAGGGACAAGTAAGTATCTCTATTTCCATTATCAATTAGACATCGAGGCTGTTTTCAACTTGCTATTCTGAGCAGAGCAGCAGTGAGCATGGATGAGTGAGTATCTCAATAGTAGGATGTAGAGTCCTTTGGTCGCATGCCCAAGCGTGGCGTAGCTGGATCTTTAGAGTGATGCTCAGCCTCCTGAGAACCCTCCACACTGACTTTCAAGGTGGGAAATATCTGGGAAGAGTCGGGAGGGCATGACCACCATATATGAAAATGTTTAAAGCTGTGGCTGGAGCACACACCTGCAACAACCAGCACCCAGAGGGCACAGGCAAGCGCACTGCTGCACGCTCAAGGCCAGCCATGTCTACATGGAAATTTCCAAGCTAGCCAAGCCTAAAGAATCAAGCCATCTCCGAAGCCTCTGGCTCCTGTTAGGAAATCCCCTGTGCCTCAGATGTCCCCGGGAGCCACTGCACCATTCCAGTGAGCCCCCGCTTTCTGAAGCACCCCCACTCCGGCACTGTGATCAGCAGCAATGCCTGTCATTTAGGCACCATCATCCTTATTCCAATAGGCGACAACGGCTGGCTCCAGGCTGGGCAGGACCAGGCAAGAGCTCCCTAAGCTCTGTGCCTTCTAAAATGTGGTAATTCACCTCTTGCTCAAACTCTCTACCACACAACAATATGGCTCTTTCTGTGTCTGTGTTTAATGAGTTCTAGTTTCCTGTCTTGCAATTAAATAACTTGTAAACAATTAAGTTTATTTGTGTTTTTTTGTTGTTTGTTTATTTGTTTGTTTGAGACAAGGTCTTACCTAGACTGGATGGCCCTGAACCCAGTATGAAGCTGAGACAGGCCTTGACCTGACTCTTCTGCCTCCTCCTCCCGGTTGTTGGGAGTAGAGGTGTGCACCCCCATGCCTGGCTGCAACTAAATGAACGCTCTCCATCATCTGCATAAGCATTCGACGCCAGGTGTCACCCGGTCACTCTTCTCAAGCGTGAAGGCTTCTCAGGCCTGGCTCTGCTTTTTGCTGGGTCCCCTCCACGCAGATACTGTTAGAAGCAGCCGTAGGGCATGAGAGGGTCCAGCCTCTCTTTCCACCATGTGGGTCGGAAGACCAAACCCAGCTTGTCAGGCACCTTTCACAGTGGAGCCGATTTCAAGTTCTTTCCCTGCTGCCTGACATCTGTGCTGAAACTGCAGGTATGTGCCCCAGCCCTGGTTTATGCACATCTAGGGATCAAAACAAGCGTTTCGTTCCTGCTGGGAAGCGTGCTGCCAGCCCAGCTACCCTGCCTGCTCCTTCCAGCTTCCAGACCAGCTCCCCCGGGAAAAGCTCAGCCAGCTGAGGAGGAGCTGTGCACTTCCTGAAAAGGAAGAGGAATTAGGAGCGGTTAGGTGCCCTCGGGCACCCTGCCTGAAAACAGAGAGCTGCCTCAGAAGCGAAACAGAGCCTGAGAAGTAGACCGTTCAGGAGGCAGATAATTCTGTAAATCTACATATCCTCTTTCCTGCTGAGCAGAAACTTCCTTGGGTGTGGGCAAGGCGAAGGCCTTGTGGAGGTCTGAAGAGCCCCTCTCCAGCCTCTGTGGTCTGAAAGCCACATGTGGACAGGGCTTGATCTGCAGGTGCCGTGCTGAGCCTGGCTCTGGGATGCTAAGATGTGTTCCTAGCTGTGGCAGTCCACCCTCCTAATTTTACTTGAATTTGGGCTTTTTGGACAATGTTTTGTTGTTTTCAGGTCAGATTCTTCTAGGATTTCCCCAGTTTATGCTGAACCCTGAGGTCGGCCCAGAAACTGAGTGCCACATGTCTGGCTGGACATGGAAGTCATGACAGTTTTGCCAGAACAGTCCATGCTTTATTTTGTTTTAAAAAGAGGACTCTGAACCAGGTGGTGGTGTGCGCACGCCTTTAGTCCCAGCACTTGGGAGGTAGAGGCAGGCAGATCTGTGAGTTCGAGGACAGCCAGGGCTACATAGAGAAACCCTGTCTAAAATAAATAAATACATAAATAACCCCCCCCCAAAAAAAAAACCCTCTGACAATTGTGGGGAGAATGGGGGGTTGGGGACCCTTTAACAGGCTGGCGCTGTGGTCCCTGTGTGTAATAGCACTTGCTCTTGGTGTGCGGTGGTGGCCAGGCCAGGGGAGGTGCTGCTTAGTGGATAGGAACACTTGCTGTGCAGGAGGTCCTGAATTCGAATCCCCAGCGCTCACTTAAAAAAAAGCCAGCATGGGGGAGGGAGAGCGGGAGGAAAGGAGGGTATCAGGCAGCTCACTGATAGAGGATACCCACCCAGAATTCCCCTCTGGTCTCTTCATGCCCTCATGTGTGTGCCTCTTCCACCGTGAGCTGCACCTCAGTGTTCTTGAGGAGTCTTACTGTCTCCACAAGATAACTATGATAACTATGATCTCTAAAATACTCTAATTAAATGATCCATGGTTTGCTATAAAACAAGATGTAAGAATTCTGAATGTGCTACATTCTTGTTGCAATTATGCATGTGTGCGAGTGTGTGTGTGCATGTGTGAGTGTGTGTAAAATGTGAATGTATGAGTTCTATGAGTGTGAGAGTGTGTATGTGTGAGTGTATGAATGTGTATATGAGTGTGTATGTGTGTGTGTATGTGAGTGTGTGAGAGTGTGTGTGTGTATTTTTTCCTACTTTAGGAAAAAATGAATTAGGAAATTCAAGCTCAGGGAGTTTACATGATTAACTCAAACACCAATAAAATCAGAGGCAGTTTTAAATCCAGGCCTTTTCGGTGGAGAACCCGCCATTTCCTCTGTGCTGACAACTGGCAGCTTCTGGGTGGAGGTGCCGTGGAGACCACAGGCTGAAGGAGTTAAGTCAGGGCAAATGTCTTCAAGGTAGTGCTTTAGGCCAGCTTACAAACTGCTGGCTTTCCCTGTGGCATTCTTACACACGTATGTTTTGTATGTTTTCTTTGTTATCTTCTTCCTCCCGCTCCCCGCCCCCACCTTAGCACTGTTGTGGTTTTTGCTTTTTTACTAAGAGACATTCCGTATTAGGTTGATCTAGTAGCCCAGATGGGATTGACGGTTCACAGCTATGATCCCAGCTGAGACAGGAGGACGGGTTCCCCTGATCAGTTCCTGGCCCACACGAAGCAGGTATGAGCTGGTGTGAATTTGTTATTTAGTTATACACAGCCTTGTTTTTTTATGTAGCTCAAGTTGACCTAAACAGCCCCAGTCTTCATACTTCATCCCTGTGAGTGCTCGGAATCCAGCCTGTGCCGCCACACCCCCTCTGCAAGAGCACGGATTTTGTAGTTATTCGCTCACCCTCCACATTATCAGAGAAGACTTCATTAGTTTTTGTACTCAGAACCACACAGATAAGAGCTTACAGATTCACGTGAAGTCCTATACGATGAGTGTGGGGGTGAGGTTTGCTTATCTTTTTTTTGAGACAGGATCTCCTATCATCCAAAGTGTGCTCAAACTTGCTATGGTAACTGAGGGTGGCTTTGAACTTCTGAGCCTCATGCTCCTGCTTCCCAAGTGCTGGGAAGGGACAACAGGCATGTACCACCACACTTGACTGTTCATACTTAACAACATATATATGCACATATATAATTCCAGCTGCCACATAAATTAATATGTAATACATGCATACTTATTATATATAACATATATGCATTTTGTGTGTGTGTGTGTGTGTGTGTGTGTGTGTGTGTGTGTGTGTGGCAGCTGGAAATGATGCTTGGAGCACACAGTCAGTCAACAAACACTGTCATAGTCTTCAGTAGAGCCCTTGTCCTGAAGACAGTGGTGGTTTTATAGCAACTGTTGAGTTATCCTAATTACAGCAAAGGAAAATGCAACTGAAACGAAGCTTTCCACTCTCGAGGAGAGAGGAAGGGTGTGCAGTTGGGCAGGTGGTGGGTGAGGAGGTGAGGGCCTGGGAGAAGCTGGATTGTCTATACGAAAAAAAGTCAATTAAAAATGGAGTCTTTCATAGTCATGATTTCATTCGTTTTACACAAATTAAATGTCACGATCTGGTGTGCAGTGGCTAGGCCAACAATAGCTCCCTCCAGGGGAAGATGGCACGTGGGAAGCGGAGCTGTCCGGCCAGCAGCCACCGTGGCCACAGCACCCTGTTAGAGTCGGCATCTGCTGTTGCTTCCCAGCCTTCAAGTTTGTCTCTAGATTGACTTATTTTGTTTACGTGTCTGCCTGGTTGTATATACCACTGTATACATCCCCACGGTTGTATACATACCACGTGTGTGCATTGCTCACAGAAGTCAGAAGGGAGCATGGGACTCCCGGAACGGGAGTTACAGTTGTGAGCCGACATGGGCGTTTTGGGACCTGAGCGAGAGTCCTCTGTAAGAGCAGCGAGCGCTGTTGACCACGGAGTCATCTCCCCAGACCCCATTCTTTTCTGCTGACAGTGTTTCTCTCTGCTGCCCAGAATGTACTATGTAGTGCAGGCTGGCCTCAAACTCATGGCAATCCTCCTGTCACATACTCTTGAGAGTTGGAATTTCAGGTGTGAGTGCTCAAGCCCAGATTAGACTGGGAAGCTCGGTAGGATTATGGCGACCAGTTCTGGGGCTCAGAGGGTGTGGCTCCTTCGTGGGTCCTTCAGCTGTGGTGCCCTGAGGAAAGCCCTAGGCTTCATTGCCATCACCCGTCCCCTAAGTCCTAAAGAGTCCTGTGATCTCAAAGACTGAGTGACCTCCATGGGAAAGTGGTGGACACCCCATTGCCCCCCCAACTTTCAGACAAATGCCAAATAATCAAAATCCACAAAAACCAGCCAAATTTCCACACCTTTCCTCTTGCAGAATAATATTACTTTGGATATATGTACAGTTATGAAATAGCAAAGAAATTTTACATTTGTGAATTCTTTTTTTTATAAGCAGAGCACTGTATTAAGGTGTTGTGAGAAAAAAAATCGCCAAAGAGTTGGGGGGGGGGTGTTCCAAGGAAGTAACACCTGAATTTTTATTTTGTTTAAGACAATACTTTAGACCAGAAGCCAGCACCTTGGGGCCAGTGTTCTGTCCACAGTTCTGCCCGCCATGACCGGTTAGGCCAACATCCAAACACTCAGTGCTCTCACTCACACAAATGTCCTGGGGTCACTGTTTGATTTGAGAAGACAGGAGCTGCCTGCAGTGTGAGTCTCCACTGTCCTGTTGCGTGCGTCGTCCAGTGTCACTGTGTGGAACCCCATGGCCTGGCAGCTACTGGCCTCTGTGGCCATCTCCAGATTATTTTCCTTCCGGCTGCTAACTCCTGCCCAGCCTTGCGTGGCAGTCGCTGTTAACCTGCGTCCAAGCGGCTCCCTGCACTCGGCAGCAGAGGGTGCCGCTGGTGACGCCACAGGGCAGCAGTAGCTTCCAGGCGGTTATTTTGGGAGGGTACATGGCTGTGAGGAGCCAGACCTCTTGTCAGACTGGCCCAGGCTTGACCCTTTTAAGCAGTTCATTCTTCTGGAGTTGTTCTGGCTTTCACGTGATTAAAAGCAAGGCTCAGCCAAGTTCTAAGTCCAGCTCGGAAATGTTTATCCTTTACTGCCCAGAACACGAGGCGAGGAAGTGGCCAAGGCTCGTGAGTCAGGTATGTGTGTGTGTCTGCCTGACACACCAGGGCACATGACCACAGGTGGCCATTGGGTAGGCTTCAGGCCTTGAGCTCTTGGCAGCTTCTAGAAGCTGTGGCCTCTGCTGGTTTGAGGGGATTGGGTTTCCTTACACCTGTCACCATCAAGAAATCAGGTTTAATTTTCTGCCTGTGTAACACTTCATTTTAGATTTCTCCAGAGATTCCAAGTACAGTTGTATATTAAAGCCAATGTCTAGCTCACTTAACCTAAGTTCCACTCAAAAAAAAGAAAAATGACTGAGGCCTTAGAAATGCAAGGTTGTTTCCCAGGAGGCGTGGGAAGGGGGAGAGGAGAAGGCATGAGGCAGGGAGCAAGCGGGGGGGGGGGGGGGGGGGGGGGGGGGGGGGGGGGGGGGGGGGGGGGGCAGGATTGGGAGCTCATGCTGAGTCTCCCCTCTCCTGCGGAATTTGAGCTCCACCGTCCACCCCGGCCAGAATTGGCTAAGCCACATTTGGTGCACTGTGTACGATTAATGTTTTCCAGCCTAAATGGGAGATGTCAGCAGCTTCATTTTGGGTCAACCTAGTTATCAGATCCCCCAACGTCATCTGCCTGTCCTCCATCAGCCTTGTTTTCTACCTGTATGACCTCTTTCTCTACTCGGTTGGGAGGTTAATTGAGAGCAGAGGCCTTAGCTTGCATATCTTAGCTTATGATGTGGTCTACAGTTCTTGAACACAGCTTGAGAGACAGCTACCAAGTTTAGATAAGGACACCTGGGGGAGGGGCAGATGGGTCTGGGCTATGTGCATAGTGTGTGGGACTAAAGGCTCAGTCAACAAGGTCACTGCTCAGCATGGACCTGGGGCTCAGGAAGACCCAAAGAGCCCCTCTCTTACCACGAAGCAGGAGTCCTGGCAGTGGTATGGCGGACATTGGCTCGGGCAGCGGGCCGTGTGTCAGGGATGTCTGGCCTCTGTCTCCAGCAGCCAGTTTGCATCTGTGCCCTGCTATCCATCAGTTTAAAATGTCCTCCCCGACAGTGGACGAGGGGAGGGGCCTAGAGGAAGAGGGAGGGTGGGGCTGGAGGAGATGAGGGAGGGGGGCATAGCTGAGCTACGAAGTGAATAAATTGTAATAAATGATAATAAAAAAATTTAAATCACAATGAAAAAGTTTTAAAAAAAGGCCCCAGCTCCTGCCAGGTTGTACGCGATCACTCCAGAACTGCTGTCACGTGGAGCAGTGCCTCGCAGCGTGGTGACTCAGAGAAAGCTCCGGGGAAGGCTGGCACATGGCTTAGGTTTTGAGAGATGAGTAAGAATCGGTATGGTGACGCGAGACAGAGGCCACCGCACAGGCCAGGACACGACGTCTTGCCAGAGCTCTCCTCATGGGACCAGGTGTATGGGTGACCCACACAACTGACAGACAGGGGATCCAAACTGAAACTGAGCACAGACCCTCTCTTCTCAAAGTGGCTTTCTGCCAAACCTTGGTTTCAGAGTTACCTGTTTTCCATGGCTGCCTCCAGCTCCGGAAAGCAAACGATGGCAACAGAAGATCTCTGTGGACCCGGTGAGATCACTTGGAACAGGCTTGGTGCTAGAGCAGCTCGGGAACCTTCAACAGCGCTGCTTTCCTGTGATGAGAGACTTAATAACGTTTTTTTCTTTATTGAGGAGGTGCTGGAGTTTGAACCGTGGTCCTTGAGAACACTAAATGTGCACTGTACTGCTGAGCTACATTTCAACCTTGCATTAATATTTTAAAGTGTTTACACGAGTTGATTAAAATGCACAAAAGAAAGGCGGGCATGGTGGCTCACACAGGTAATCAAAGCCCTCAGGGAGGCGGATCTCTGTGAGTTCCAGGCCAGACTGGTCTACAAAGTGAGTCCAGGACAGCCAGGGCTACACAGAGAAACCCTGTCTCGAAACACTACCCACCCCCCCAAAAAAAAGTACAAAAGACTTCACCATACAAGCAACAGATACAGTGGGCCCATAACTGCCTGTGGGCAGAGACCTGGACTTCAGAAACCCACTCAGTGCCCTGCCCCACGGGGGACTTCAGCCCTTTCTGCTCACCTGTCTTCACACCTGTTCATTCCACAAACATTTCTCGAAACATTCCACTGTTGTACTGTGGTTAGCTGGGTGTGAGGAGCCATGAGAGCCTCAGGGGTCTGTGACCTACGTGCAAATGCAACCAGAGTCTGAGGTGGGTCCGGGGCTGCTGTGGGTGTGGTTCCAGTAGTCATGAGGAGGAGCTGGCGGTGACGTGGAGAATATCAGGGGCAAGCTGGCCCCTGTTGGTCCTCCACGTCTGTTACCATAACGCATAACCACAAACAGCTCAGAGAGGACCAGCAGCTGCTTCCCACCGGGTGGGCACAGCAGCTCTGCCCTTGTTCCCTAAAGCATTTTCACACAATCCAGTATGACTTCATGTTCTCAGTGACCCCATGAGATGTGTGCACACAACTAACAATGACTCCCCTTTCACAGATGACAAAAAGGAGGCTCAAAATGTTGTTTGTCCCAAGTCACACGGTCTGTAGATGGCAGAGGTGGAGCAGGGAGTTTCGTGGCTGCCTCTGGTCAGCCACGACCACTGCATCATGGCCTCCCCTGACAGCAGGCGTGCTGTGGAGTCTGTTCACTGCACATGGCCAAGGCTTAGGAGCTGGAGAGGACTTGGGGCCTCCTGGCTACCCTGGACGGGTTCCGAGTCTTCAGGGATAAGGGCCCACAGAAAAGTGAGGGCATTTCCTGTTTGTTTCTCGGGGGTGGATTGGGGGTGTGCTATGTGTCTCTTATTCAACTTGCATAAACTTGGTACCAAGTATTTACAATCAGTTTCCACAGCAAGTATTGGCTTTCTTTGGTAAGGGCCTTTCCATAACCTCAAACACTGATGATGTCTCAGTGGGCCTAGGACAGGAAGATGGGTCTCGGTGCTACCCTGAGGTAGAGGCGACTCTGTGGCAGTGGCTCTCTGGGCTTGGGACAGTTCACGGAAAGTGGGGTGGGTGTGTGGACATGGCTCTTGTGTCACACGCTCATCATCCTTGACGGGGTCTGTCACTGGATGCTATCTGCCACATATCAGGGCACCTCAGACCAAGCCGCACGCGCGCGCGCGCGCGCGCACACACACACACACACACACACACACACACACACACGAAGGCAGAAACATGGTCTATGGTTCTAAACTCTTCCAAGCCAGATGCAACCTCTGCATGACACCGTCACCTCACAAATATTTACTGCCTACTCCCCTGTGCCAGGTGCAATGCTGGCCACTGGGATCCAAAGGTGAGCAGGTCGGGGACTCTGGTGGAAATGTGCCCGCTGTCTAGTGGGCAGAGATACAGGAACACGGGAACCTACAGCAACAGCAGCAAGGAGGCATCCCAGCAGAGCCCGCTCACAGTGGGCAGGAAAGCACGGCTACCCATGGCTCTGCAGCAGGGAAAATTTGCACACAGAACCAAAGAAATCGGGCCCCACCCTAGTACATTTTGATGCCTTTTGACTGGTCTGTGCTTGACCACACTAAAAGGAAGCTGCTAGGTGAGCAGGTAAGAAGGTTGACTGCACTACGGAAGGAGCATGGGTACCTCAGGCTCCAATTGTGTAGGATGTCAGACCTGGTTTACAGGCAAGGTAGGGAATAAACAGGAAGAAACGATGGCTTTTACCCACATTGCTGAAGCTGCCGTCAGAGAGCCTGAGGAACCATGCATGGCCTCTTTTCTCCCTTTACCTTCCCCCACATTACTTTCTTTTTGTCGTTTGTTTGCGGGTTTTGTATGCTAACACTGTAGCCCAGGCTTGCTTGGAACGCACAATATTACCCAGACTAACCTAAACTCATGGCAATCCCCCTGCCTCAGCCTGGGATTATAGGTGTGAGTTACCATGACTGCACTTTTTCCATTTTCCTATAGTTGTAGAAGAAAATCTGATCCATTGCCTGTTCACTGCCCCTGCGGATAGATGTCCATGTTTCTTGATATTCTGTGACCCCTTCTTTGGATCCAAAGGGAAAACATGCTCCTATGAGTCCCTGTGTTTGAGACATGGAGCACACTTCTTGCCTGCTTGGTCAGGGCTCAGAGAAGCAGAGCCCTCTTGAGTTGTCTCATGGGAGTGGATTCTGTGCAGCTAGCGGAGGAGCTGGGTGGTGAAGGCCGGGCTGGAGGAGCCAGCTGGCCGCTGGATGCCTAGCTGAGCACACCTCTGTGGGAGGACGCAGAGGGGCTCCGAGGGTTGGCCTCGAGGGACAGGGCCTCGTGTACACATAAATACCACCTGAGCATGGGCCTGACGCTGCCAGGGCCGTGAAGCCAGAACTCAGGAAGAGCCGCAGGCACCAGGAGGAGGGCTGGACAAGTTACAACCCGGTGACCTTGGGTCTGCACTTAGCTGGTCTCGATCACCTTCAGAGAGCAGCAACCGCTTTACTGCCGTTTTCCAAATCATGTGTCAGTTCATCTTCCGGCCCTTCCACCCTGAGAACCATCCAGGGGACGGTTTCTGAGAAGAGCAACTCCATCTGTGACAAGCTGAAGGGATCAACACTTACATTTGAAGTAAAATCATTGATGGAGACAGAATACCCTGATATGATAGGGACACACACACGGACACACACACGGACACACACACACACACACACACACACACACGCAGAAGGTTCTAGGCCCATGAACCAGAAACTCTCAGCTGTGTGTGTGTGCAGGCGTGCGCTCACGAGTGTGTGAGTAAGTGAGTTTTCAGAAATGGCTGAATAGTTCCTAGACCTCTTTCTTAAGGGCACAGGGAGGACATGTGTTTGCTCAACAGACGGTAGTGGCACAGAAGAAAGACTGCAAACTTCTGTGCTTGAGAGCTTGCTGTGTGAGGACAGAGACAGGGACCTAGGTGAGGCTGTCCCACGTTACCTCCCCGCCCGACTTCGAGTCTTCCCTCCTCTCTCTTGCTGTCACAACTCTGCAGATCTTCAGAGCAAGCTGAGAGCGTAGATGTCCCCATCATGAGCTCTCCGGTGAGCTGCTGGGTGTGGATGGCCAGCCACCAAAGCTCTCACGCTCATCCTGCCAAGGGAAGAATGAGTTGGGCAATCAGAGGGGTGCCCCACCCTGCACACTGGGCTTACTGGCAGCTCACACAGTTGATTCGTCCCATTCCAGTGATCACATTAGAGAGCATGTATCTGACACTCTGAAGTGTGTGGGCATCTAAGTGGGGTACAATATGAAGCAAGTGAAAATACTAGGGTGCCTGCCCTGGAGGTCAAGATGAGATGAACAGACTTAGAAACCCTCCCACTGGTCTCATTTCCTCTGCTCTCAGACACACCCACCCTCCCACTCACCTGACAGAGACCTGTGCCCCAATGTAAGGCTCCTGAGGGTGCCACTCCAGCTCCTTAAGTGGACAGTGCAGAGACTTGTGAAGAGTCAGGAGAGGAGGAGGAGGAGGAGGAGCCCAGGAGGCACAGTGCCAGGCCAGCTGAGACTCACGGCCACGCTGAATGAAGCATTCCTGCATGTGTCCTGCAGACAGCCCTTCCTGTGCCTTCTTGTCCTGTCCTGTCAAAGACAGCAGCAAAGGTGCATGGGAAAGCCCTTCTTCTCATATGGGTCAGCATTAGCGGTGGTCTGGTGGTTCTGCTGTGTCCACACCCCGACACCCTGCAAAACAACAAATAACTATGTCAGTGATGTCTGCAGTTGAGTTCCTAGTGAGGCAAACTCGCTAGGTGGGACAGGGAAGCTGCATTTAAAACATGCGCCCAGGGATTCCCAGGCACATTTATGGAAAACATTGCACAAGGCAGAATGCTTGTGGATGTGGGCAGGAAGGGGAGGAAGGGACAGAGTGGAATAGGCTGTGAGGTCGAGTGGGAGGGAAGGTCACACACAGACAGGTGTACACAACCTACAGAGCTCTAGGACACTGAAGCTGGGGAGGCCTTATGGCCTGGCCCTGCTCCATGGCCTTGGGGCAAAGGTCCCCTTAAATTCTGTACCTTGACTCCTCACTCGCCTCACCTTCTTCAAAGCCCTGGTGTCCACAACCAAGCCTAGAGGTAGAAGGCCTTCTGAAAATGGTGATGAGTGAGTAAATACACCTATTTGACAGCCATGTACTGAGTGCAAACTATGACAAGAGGTATTGGCAACTATCCGGTAAGCTCCGAGAGGCAGGCCTGCTCCGTGGGGAGGAAGCCATCCCGGGCACAGCCCAGGGACATGACATATTTCATGGTCACTCGACAAATGACTGAAAGACAAATGCCAGCCTCAGTGTTCCAGGGATATCCACCCAGGTGTCAGCAGTTCAATAACTGAGCTAGGTCCAGAGGAGCAAGTGTTGCAATTAGCAGTGGTCCACCATAAAGGACCTGCTGACCACCTAACCCAGAGGCCCCACGTGTGGTCCATCTCCAAGGCTCCTGACCTCCACACCTGTAAGAGGGGTCTGTCCATATCTGGGCTCCTCAAGTTCCTGGTCACCTAAGCTCAACAACTTTCATTGAGGCTTGGGAGATCGGGGGTAGTTGTGAACCCCAGAGAGGAAGCTTCTACCCAAGACCTAACAGTGGGGTTTGGAAACCTGATTTTGGAGCTAGGCTAGGTGGTGTATATTTATAACCCCAGCATTTGGGAGGCAGAGGCAAGAGGATTGCAAGTTCAAGGCCACCATGTGCTATATGGTGAGCCTCCACAACAGACAAAACCTTCTTTTGCTATTTGGGGGCTAGGATATAATTAAGTGGTAAAACACTTGCCTAGTACATTTGAGGCCATGGGCTCTATACCAAGTACTTCAAGATAAAAGTTGGGAGTGGGGAAGAAGAGGGGGAGGGGAGGCCGTGCCCCATCTTACCGTTATGAAGTGAAGACCCTGCCGGCTCTCATTCTCTGTCCCTCTTTACCAACTGCTGACGGCTAAACCTAGGTCTCAGCACACGGCAGGAAAGTATTGACAATCCTCCGTGGATCTCCAGTTTTCTTACAGTACCCCAGATCTTCTAGCCCTCTACAACAACTGAGGGCTGGGCAGTTTAAACGGCTGAGAGGATAGACCTGTGGTTTTGGAAGTGGCGACCCTGTGGGCCAACAGGGGCATCCCAGCAGGACTTGAAAAGGAGGTACCATCTTCATTCATCCATCATCCATTCATTCATTCATTTTTGAGACAGGGTCTCACTCTGCAGGCTGGCCTCAGGCTCTTGGCAGTCCTACTACCACAGCCTCTCCAGGGCTGAGATGACAGGAATGAGCCTCCAGGCCTGGCTGTGCCATTCTTCATGTTGCTGTCTTAACATGATTTCTTCCTCAAATAAATGACATTAAAAACAGCCCAAAAAAGGCCTGAATGGCCCCAACTCAGATGGCTCTGTCAAGATATATATAAGAGAAAACAAACAGATTGCCTCACCCTGCCGGACACTGTCCACCTGCCTCCCCAAGGAGTGGCCTCTTCCACCACATCGTCTATTCCTGAGAGGCAGTGACTAACCAGTGTCTACAGAGACTCACTCGGCCGTAACAAGCCTTGCTTCCAGGAGGAGTCAGTTTTCAAACACTGATTCCTCTCTCGCTCCCCAGGGAACTGTGGCAGGAGGCAGACAGGCCCTGCAGGGCCTGGGCCCACGGATTCCTGATGCCACAGTCCTCTTAGTGGGTTAGGGATCTCACCCGCACCCAGCGGTCTGAGGGAAGAGCTCCCTTTGGGGGGTTACGTAAAGACTTTTTGCAAGTGACTTCTTTCTTGGCCTGTGTTTAACCTTTATTTAATTGGCCCTAATTTACTTTACTAATTGATGCTCAGGTCTGGGGAAAACCTTCCGTTCTAGGTTTACAGCCTGCTGGAAAGGTGATTAAGGAGAGCAGGTGACTTCTCACGCAGACTTGGGGAGAACCTGGGCTCTAGAAACAGGGAATGCTGTGTGGCTAGCAGTGCCACAGTGACAGAGCTGCCACGGGCAGGGGAGCTTCACACAGACTCCCTCCTGATGCAAAGAATAATCAAAATAAAATAAACATCGGGGTGAGGAGGTAGCTCAGAGGCTGGGGGTGTTCCAAACCACAGGCTCCCTAACACTGTGAAGGTGGTGGGCATCTGAGTTTTGAGCAGTTGGGGCAAAGGGCCAGACTGGTGGGGGTGAGCCTGTCTGTCTCTTTTTGTTTCCCAGCCAGAGGGGTCCCAGCTAGGCCTCTGTGACTATGACTGTTTGGGCTGGAAATCCATCTGCAGACTCATCTTCCCGTCCACACACAAAGATGCTTTCTCAGGCTGAAGTAAAGCAAGGGGCTTTGTGCATGTGGAGACCTGTCACAGAGCGCTGCCAGCCATTGCAACAGGTAGCTGGCAAAGCAGACTGTGCACATGATAAGTTACAAAACCAGGACTGTCGTGCATGCTCACAGGGCTGCCGTGGTGCTGGGACAACAGAACAGAGGCTGGACTGGAGCCCTGACTCCATGGTCATCAGGATGACTGTACCTAAGAAATACTACTCCTCGTTCAAGGACACAGTCATCCGACTGCTGCTAAAACCACCTGTTATGTAAGTTTGCAAACTAAAACTTAGTTAATGTGCCCTGTTTTCCAGGTACAGGATGTAGTTCTGATGTTCCAATCCCACAGTCAAGTACCAGCTGCAATAATTTATAGTAGCCAGTGTATGCTTTCTAGTATATACTCGACTCTTAATGATGTGTCTATGAGGACACACAGCATAAACATATATGTTCGTAATTATTCAAGTGTTTACCGACTCCTTGAAGGCAGGAAATTGAAGATGGTCATGTATAATGATGGTTCCACTTGGGAGGCAGAAGCTGGAGGGTCAAGAGTTTGACCACTCTAGCTACACAGTGAGTCAGAGATTCGCCTGGGTTGTGTGAGACCTGTCTCAGAAAACAAATACACAAAAAAATAAATGAAAAATATGTGTTTATAAACAAATCACTTCTCTAATTGTTCCCTATTAAACACCAGTCGTTGCCACCACCACTCACCCTCCTGTAGGCACTGGGTCTCTTTCTGCTCTAACAATTCACTTAATGCAGCACAGATACCGTATGAGCTGCCTGCAGCTGGGAAGAGTAATACTGGCGGCTGACTGGCTGGCAAGCAGATACCTGATGAAGATGTATAACTGAAAAGCAAAGCATGAGAAAGGTGTGTGTCGTGTCACATGGATGCATGTTGGAGGAAATAGCCAGCAAGAAAGAGCCCCAAACCTATAGAATCTTAAAGTTTTATAAAACAGCTACACAAACAACTTCGTTTTTAGAGACAGGTTCCCACTAGGTAGCTCGGGCTATCCTGGAACTCACTGTGTACCCTCAAAGTCATAGTCCTTTGTTTCAGTCCCCCAAGGGCTGGGGCTACAGGTGGTCCCGACACCTGGATGAAATCTGCCCCTGATTTCATCCGCCTACAGGGCTTCACAAGCATAAGCAAAGCGGAAGATGCTGTGAGATATAATTCAGGAACTACAAACTGAGGCTGGAGATGTGGCTTTGTAAATGCGTGCACAGCACACATGAGATTCAAGACGCAGCGCTGAAAACAGAAAGGTTTACTAAGAAACTAACAGATTCATTCTTCATTCACATAGATTCATTCATTCACATGGATTTGCTAAACCTCAGAAATTAGATGTTAATGTCTTTGAGTTTCACATCCCAGCAAGAAGTATTAATCAAACTTTCCCCTCACTGATTAAAAACAAAACAAAAAACCCAAAAACCTTATTTTTTTAAGAAAGCAATTCATATTCAGTGCCTCTGCCTGGTATCCTAACATGTGGAAACAGGGAGGGAGTGTGAGCAAGAACCAAGGTCCTCCTTAGCCACTTAGGGAAGAGAAAGGGGCCACTGTCTCTCCCTCAGTCCCGTGAAATGGAGGGAGAAAGGTATTCTTTTTTCTTTTTTAAAGGTCTTATTTTTAACTGTGTGCATCCATGTGGAGGCATGCCTGTGAGTGCAGGTGTGTGTGCCCTAGGAGAACGGAGTTCAAATCTCCAGGACCTAGAGTTATAGGCTGTGTGACCCGTCCGAGGTGGGTGCTGGTCTCTGAGCTCCGGTCCTCTGCAAGAGCAGCATGCATGCTTACCTACTTAAGCCAGCACTCCGGCCTGGAGAGAAAGCCCTGGAGAGTCACCAGAGCACTTTAACCAGAGTCTCCCTGGAATGGTTTGTGGGTCCCAGACTACAGAACAATTCTAAAGTTAGTCGCGGGGATGTCAGCCTGCCTTTCAAACCCCATTTGAATGGCTTCTTGGGATTTCAGAGCTAAGAAACCATCCTAGGGGCAAAAAAGAACGACCTTCCAGGTTAAAAAAAAAATGCTGTTTGTGGCCAAATACATTTGCAGGGCAATTCCTTCATTCTGTAGGTAAGAAAACTAGAGGGAAAATAGATAAATAAGTCAGGTGACCTTTTTAACCATGCTGGCTACTAAAGGCTTCACTTCAAGCTCAAACTTCTGAATCTCCAGCTGCTGTTCTTGATCTGGGCTGCACATCCGGGGAACATTGTCTATTGGGTTTCTTGTTGTTGTTTTGTTTTTGAGACACGGACTGTTTAGTCTGGACTGACCTTGAGCTCCTGATGTAGCCTAGGCATGCCCAGAGTAAATTAATAAATGGTAATAAAATGAAAGGGCTGAGGGTGCAGCCTGGCGGCAGAGAGTTAGTTACAGCCTCATGGCACGCCATCATGGTCCTCTCCTACCATGCACTCAGACTTAAATTATTTACCTTTATTTTACGTACATTAGTATTTTGCCTGCATCTGTGTCTGTGTGAGGGTGTCAGGTCTCCTGGAACTGGGGACAGTTGTGAGCTTCCATGTGGGTGCTGGGAATTGAATCCAGGTCCTCTGGAAGAGCAGCCAGCACTCTTAGCCCTGAGCCATCTCTGCAGCCAGGTACTCGTATCTGTAACAGCAGATAATTTGACCTAACTCATGCTGCCAGACTGGGTGACAAGGGCTCTTAGCCAGCAAGCCACCTCACTGAACCTGTCTTTAACTTTTTATTTTGAGCCAAGGTCTCAGTAAACTTCTAGGCTGGCCTTCACTCACATGGTAGCCATGCAGGCCTCAAGCTTCTGATCCTCTTGCCTCAGCCTCCCCAGTGGCAGAAATGACCAGGCCTGTACCACTACACTCAGCAACTGTAAGGCCTGCTGTACTAGGTTTTGTATCAAAATAGCTCACTGTGACTGGTGACCTCTCTCTCTCCAGACTGTTCCTCCTCCATCTCCCAGGCTAGCTCCCCTGAAATCCCCTGAGAGCTGTGGCCAACACCCCTGGAGAACTCACCAATAGCAGTTACTAATTACAGTCTGATTTGGGACGAGGAGTCTCATGCTGTCACGGGTCAGTGACAATAGGAGAAGCAGGTGTCTGTCCTAGCAAAATACACACCATACCTGATTAAGACAGCTTTGGTTTTTCTGAAGGCTGCAAGGCACTGGAGATGGACACCCACCACTCACAATCTCTGGTAATTTCGTGTGATTCTACTTGCCAACCCAAGCCATGGAAATCTGCGAGCTGAGTACTTAGGCAACACCTACTCTGTTTTCTCTCAGCCACTTGGTGCTAGGATTGCTGGTAGAGGTCTGAAAGGGCCAAATTGCTTCCCAAAGAAGTGGCCCCAGCTGATGCTCTTCACAAGCTGATGCACTGCTGCACACCTAGCCCACTCCTGGCATGCTTAGCCACTTAGGAGGCCATCATTGGTCGCCGCTGCCAGGGGCCTGGGATAAAAGGACCCCTGCTTCTTAGTCCCCCCCCCTTGCTCTCTCTACCTTGCTTTCTTTCCTGGTGGGGAAGCACCATCTCTCTCTCTCTCTCTCTCTCTCTCTCTCTCTCCCTCTCTCTCTCCACCTCCATCCAATAAATACCTTTCATATAATACCTGTTGTGTGCATGGCATAATTTGCAAATAAATACTAACACAAACCCTTTCCACCAGTGCTAAAGAGGTCCTCTCTCTTAGCTTCATTACATCCTCCATGATGTGAGCCATTCCCAGACAGAAGCTGAGAGCTGCAGCACATCAGTCATATGCGTGTAGAGGAATGTTAATTCAGAAAATGACCACTCTGGCAAGACATCATATCCAAAGACTTTCTAGGTCTGTGTGATTCAGCTGGAATACTAACATGACTTTAATCCAGGAGGCAGAGGCAAGCAGATCTGAGTTCAAGGCCAGCCTGGTAGAGAGCAAGTTTCAGGTAAAGAAAAGCTTAGGTCCAGCTGTGGTGGCACACGCCTTTAATCCCAAACAATGAAGGTAAAGTTATTTTGTAGAAGGAAGCACCCATGTTTGAAAGTGGTATCTAATTGAGTGGCAGAAAAAGTGATGAATCAGAGAAAATTTGACTGAACAGGATACACTCTCAGGAGAAGAGAGACAAAAGGGAAGCTACTTAAGGGGCAATGCAGAAAGAGAGAGGAGAGGCAGTTTTACCAGAATAATAATAGACATGTTGCAGAGAGAGAACTCAGGTGAAGACTGAATGAGACAGAGAAGGAGCCAGGAGATTATGCAGATTGCTGGAATTTGTTTGAGGTCAAGCAGAGCACTTAAAAAATCAGAGCAAAGAGAAAAGCCAGGTTGAATCAGTCAGCTGGGAAAAGAGTTTGAGCCAGAACAGCTGAATTGTTGGTGAGCTTATTCAGCAATAAGTCCCAGTGACTGAAAACCTTCTAAGCCTAGGTTAGATTGTGTGGAGGCTGGAAGTTCCCAGGGCTAGGCCTAGGTTAGCAGAGGTAATAATCCTCCGAGACAACTGAAGCACGCAAATAAAAGTTCTTTTTACATATGGGGAGCTATCAGCATAGAGCCACCAGCAAGGGGCTGTGTTAAAGAACTGTGCGTTAAAGAACTAGCTGATGTGCATGGTCAAGAGGTTTGACATAGGTCCAGGTGTGGTCGTGCACGTCCGTAATCCCAGCATTTACAAGACTGAGTCAGGATGATTAGCATGTGTTTGAGGCTGGGGCTGCTAAGTGAATACCAGACCTGCCAATGCTACCAGTAAGACTGTCTCAAAACAAAACAAAATAAACAAAACTGCAAACTTTTTTTCTGCATACAATCATTCAGCTCTCTTCTCCTTGCCTCCCCTCTCCCCCCCAAAATCATTCAGCCTTTGCTCCCACTCTTTGTGCTTGAGTGCCCTGTACTGCCTTGGCCAGAAGCATTCCTGAGTTGGCAATAGCCAGTCCTCAGCACGGCCTGGTAGTGAGACGCAGGAGGGATGTGGATGCAAGACCGGAGTATCCTGCTGAGCAGAGTCCCGCCTCACCTGAAAGTTCTGCCTCCCTCCTACTCACTGAGATTTCCCAGGCCAGAGGAGCAGGAAGAATACTACACTGACAGGAACAATTGTAGAGTTCTTTGGACCCCTGTAGCAGCTCAGGCCCCACCTAGGACACTGAGTAAGGAAAATTCAGAATCTTGGGAGCTGACCTGGACCCATTAAAGAAAATCTGCTTCGAAGATGGGTTGATTGAACCCATCTGTAATCACAGCAACTCAGTCGGCAGGAGAATCTCAAGTTCCAGGCCACCCTGACTATACTGAATATATCTCAAAACCTACCAGGGCCTATACTTCAGTGGTACAGCCTTGCCTATAATGCACAAGGTCTGGGGTTCATCTCTAACACAGAGAACGAAAGTGTGGGCAGAGGAGAGAAGATCTGCTTTTAGCAAGATCCACAAGCGAGTCAGAATACATAAAGGCTCGGGAAGCCATGCTTCCGTATTTAACAAACATTTTCCCTTACTGACTGTTTTAAACTCTTCCTGACACCCCCTGGCTTCCTTGCATATGTTAAGTTTCAAACCCCAGACAAGTGGCTGAGGAGCCTATTTAATATATCAAAGCAGAACTGGTCTCCAGGTTCTCCCAGCATCCCTCAGTCCTTCAGGGTAGAGGGTTGGCGTACTCTGCCCGCTAACCTGAATCACCCAGCCCAAGGGCTGGGCTGCCCTCTCCCCAGAGACTCCTCCCTCTGTCATCCAGGCATTTTGGTTACTGGCCCTCTCTTATGCTTCTTTTGTACCTTTGGCCTCCTGGCTGCTGTACTTGGCTCCCCTCTCTTCCTTCCCCTCCCCCTCTCCCACATGGTTCAGGGTCATGCCCACTCTGGACTCTCCCACATGGTTCTGCCTCTGGCTGTGCTCTCCACGTGTCTACAGTAAACTTTCTCCTCCACCATATGTAGGCGCAGTCAAAGCCTTTCCTTTTCATTTCTTTCCTCCATTCATCGTATGGCTGTCATTCCCAGTTCATGACTGCGGAAACCGAACAGCCCAACAGAACCCAGCGGGACCTTGGCACACAAGTCTGCAGGGCACGTAGCTGCCCCTCACCTCATGCTTTGTTTACATCAACAGCCAGAAATAATTCACTCTTTCCCAGCCCCAAAGCTCATTCTTAGATTAATCAAAGGCCCATGCAAATGGGGTCCCCAGTCTTACCATTCTGAGTGGTTCCTGCTGTCTGCTTGAGACCACACTCACTGCCACTTCAGATTTAACCCTCTCCATGTTCAAAGAAACTTGGAGTTAGGGCACGTGTGAACCCCCAAATTTATGTTGGAATCCTACCCCCTGTAGTGACAGCGTTAGGAAAGAGGGCCTTTGGGAAGGTAACTGTAGGTCATGAAAGATGGTCATAGAAGATCATCCATAGAAGACAGTCCATGGGAAGTGGTCCTTCCCAGACACTGACCCTGTGAGCACCCCAGCCTTAGAACCGTAAGAAATAAATGTTGGCTGTTCTTAAATTGCCTAGCTTATAGCATTTTGTTATGACAACCCAAAGGGGCTAAGAAACAAGGACAGCCGGGTCTTTGTGTGTGCAGCATGACAAGACGGTAGCTCACACCAATCCTAAACAACCACCAAAGACAAGTGAGACCTGTAAGAGTGCAAAGGAAGCCGTTTTAGCAGTAGGCTGTTATCAAGTGGTCCACGCTTGAAATGGTCATTCCGCACTCCAGGGCTCCTTTACAAACATAAGGATCCAGTGTGGCTTGCACAGTGCAGCACAGATGAGATTTCAAGGTGTGGAGAGAAATCCGTGATGTCTGTTAGCAAAGTCACACGTCCTGATGATGCTACGGTGGTTTGTTTCCTATCAGTACAGGGAAGAAAATGTTGGGAGTTTAATGAGAAAAAAAAAAAAAAAAAAGCTTTTTTTTTTTTTTTTTCCAGTCAGCTTTACAGACCCTTAAATTCTCTCCACAGATGCCTGGAGAGTCTGGAGACCTCCCGATTATGACTCCTGTTTAGCCTTTGAAAAGTGTTTTCTCTGCATTCATATCTGTGTGCCATGTGTACAGCACTTCTGGCGGTAAGATGAAAAGGTGTTAGATCCCCCAGAACTGGGTTACAAATGACTGTGAGCCACCATGTTGGAGCTAGAAATGTAATCTGGTCCTCAGAAGCTCAGCTCACTTTCTCTTTTTCATTCAGTCTGGACCCCCAGACCATGGGACAGAACTGCTACAGTTAAGGTGGGGTTTTCTACCATTATTACAATCGAAAAACTTCCACAGACATAAGCAGAGATTTGTCTGCTAAGTGAGTCTAGATCCTTCCAAGTTGACAGTGAATGTTAAACAATGAGGATTTTGAAAACCAGGACTGTCTCCGGAGCTTTGAGTAGACACACAAGCATGTGTGTGAACACACATTCTTTGCCCCCACCCTCCAGTTTTCTGCAGAAAAGGGATCTCCCTTTCCATTTCCCTAAACCCTGTCACCTTCTGCAGGG